ATTTGAGGCACCTTTGCGACCCATTCATTCCCCATTAACTATTCAATCACATATCCATGTCTTCATCAACCACTTTGAGCCTTGCCTAACGATTCGCCTTATTTATTCAACCCACATTCACCCAATTATGGGATGGGAAGGTATGCAATTTGTGTAACATTCAAAATAAAATAAAAAAAGAATGAATAGTAATAAAAGAATGTCTAAAGGCAAGTGTTCCAATGTCTTTGATACGAACACGTCTCGAATTGCGTCTCTCATCGAGTGCTTGGTACCGTGCCTGAGAAACATGAATTCTAAGTGAGTGATGGACCGCATGATCCGAGATTGTCTACATTGATTTTAAAAAATAAGAAAATAAAGAAAATAATAAATAATAAATGTGAAAAAATAAGACTTGCGAATTCAAGTTTTTCAAATTCACAATTGCATATCTTGGGGGCTTCTCTCGGGTCTTGAGCCTTTTACCCCTTTCTTCCTTAAACCTTCAGCTTAACAACATTATAACCCTTGAAAGTCCTCTTTAAGGTGTACACACACTTGTGCTAAGTTCGGTTAGGGCTACATTCGGCCTGATTCTTAATGGATACGTAAGCAACCTCACATTGAGGTGCGACCACATTCATATGCATGATCGAGTCGAAGAATATCCAATGCTTAATCCTATGACCCTACCCATTTAGAGCTAGACTTGGGGGCTTGAACCCATATCACATTAGCTTATCCAGTCAAAAGAGTCACCATCTCGACTCTTCTCACATCTATTTCCCTCACCATAGCCTTTGCAGCCTCACCTAAGTATCACTTTCACACACTTCTTTCACACATACATAGCCATATCATCTTTCCCTTAGGAACCCTTTATCATGGAATCTTGTTTCTCTACCGCTCATGCTTCATCATATTTAAAGACAACATTCAAACTTTGTATACTTGCTTATCTTCCTGACCTGAGCAATGTTCATTGTTTCACGCATCGCATAATATGCTGAGCAACATTTATATATCAATGATTTGTAATCACACAAGGAATATTGTGCTTAGCTCCTTGAACTAAGCAACATTTATTATGAAATAATCACTTCATCTATATACGTGCTTAGCTTCCAAACCTAAGTGACGTTCAAGATCGCTCCTTTACACCATATGTGATGCTTAGCTCCATGACCTAAGTTCATTCATCTATCGTGCCACATGATGTAATTGTCCTTAGCCTCCTGGCCTAAGAACATATATCATGCATACATTATCTTCAGGAAAAGCAATTCAATCCATACAACAAGAAAGTTCAAAACTTCTCCATTTTTATTTTATTTTTGTTTATGCTAATTTTTATTAAGTGGGATTGAATATCAAAATCTAGGCTACGGATCAACTAAGAAAAATCAAAAGTAAAACAAGACTAAAAAGAGAATAAATGACACGAGGAATTGGTGACGCGTAAAACCCAATGAAGGTAAAAACCGCGGGTAGAATGAGGATCTACCAAACTTTCATTATGCAAGAAATAATATCAATTTACAAGATGTGGTATAGTATGTGTATCGTTGGAGAGTAATGCCCTATACTCGTTGTTGTCCTGCCCTTTATATAGATGGTTTTTTAGGTTGAACCCTAGCCGTTGCAAGGAGATAAGACTGTGCCCATGATTTTCGGATGTTAGTTGCTGAAAATATTCTTCTTCTGTTTTGAACTCCAACGGACTGATTTGGCTGAGGCTGGACTAAGTCCTTGCTTATCCTCTTCCTAAAAAATAGGAAGTTGTTACTTGACTTTGTCTTCCGTCAACGCTGACAGTGCGTCGTCGAGCTTGCGGCTTCGTCAAGGGGAGTCTTCGTCATTGACCTTCATTGACTATCGTTGACTAACCCTTGCATATTTTTACCCATAACAATTTGCCCCTAATTGCTAAAACGTGGATAACTATACACTTTTGGCAATTTTAAAAAATAAAAATGCAAGACAAAATAAAAATAACAAAAAATAAACAAAAATCAAATAACCGTAAAAATTTCAAATTATTTGGAGGGGCGATTTCGTCCTTTATCATGCACGTTCTTTAAAAGAGTTACTCCACTTCTCCCACTCTCTTTACTCTTAACCGTCACTTCATTCTTTAATTGCTAAAACACGCTTCGCGCTTCCCCAAACTTCTACTCCATTCTACTTTTCTCTCTCCAATTCTTCTCTCTTTTGCGAGATTTTTTCCGGTGGTTTGACGGCAGCATGCGGTGGCGATTTCGAACTTCCGGCAACTTCAATTACCAGGTAATCTACTTAACTTCTTTTGCATTAATCAATTTTAAGCACGATGTCCAACAAAATTCCCAAAACTAGAACTAGGTTTTCTCTTCGCGTTGTTGAAAAAAGAGGAACGATTGTTTCACAGCAAAAATCAAAGTCTCAGTCTAAGTCGTGACTACTGCATATCCCATCGTGCAAGTGGCTAAGGATGGACTGTTGTTCATGTTTTTGGATGCATCTTTGAGATAACCCCGATGCTGATTTGTGGAACAGGACTTCGTCAATGATGTGGTATCGGGAGGCTTTGTATTTTAGTTTTTGTGATTCTGCTTTGTCACTGGGTAGGATATCTTTGGTCAGGTAGTCAACGATAGGTCTGGTCCAGTCGTCGTCGTTGTTGGCGTCGTCGACTGGTAGGACTTCTTTAAAGGATAGGGATGGTTTTTGCAGATAGACTAAGGGGATATTTGTGAAGGTAGTCTTTTTGAGGGCGGAGGCTAGGTTTTCCAATGCGTCGGCTTGGGCATTTTGGTCTCTTGGGATTTGTGAGATGGTAAAAGGATCAAAATGTTTGGTTTTTTCTTTCTCTATGTCGAGGTACGCTGCCATTTTGGAGTCTTTTGCTGCGAAGTCACCTGTTATCTGGCTGACGACGAGGAGGGAGTCGCTGTATACATCCAAGGCTGTGGCACCTAGGTCTTTCGCGAAGGTCATTCTATCATGCCCCCTTGTGGTGACTTTAGCACCATTCCCAGGCCAGCTCCTCGTTGGTTGGACGAGCCATCGACAAACAAGATCCATTTGCTTTCGCTTTGGACGTTGTTGATTTCTTCTACCTCCTTGTCAGTTATAGCCTGTAAGTCGGGGCTGAAGTCAGCCACAAAATCTGCTAGGGCTTGGGATTTTATTGCTTTTCTAGGTTGATACTCGATGTTCATCGTGCTCAACGAAATGCTCCACTTACCCAAACGTCATGTCAGATCTGGTTTTCTCAAAACAGACTTAAGCGGATAATTAGTCATCACCACTACGTGGTGGGTTTCAAAATAATGCCTTAGCTTTTTAACAGCAGTGATTAAAGCGAGGGCTAATTTTTCTAGGGAAGTGTATCTTACCTCGGCTAGGAGTAGAGTTTTACTTACAAGGTAAACCGGAAGCTGCCCAGCTTCGTCGTCTTCCCTCGTTAGGACTGCGCAGACGGCCACAGTGCTGACGGCAATATAAAGCTGCAAAGTCTCGTTAGTTTTGGGTTTTGACAGGAGGGGTGGCGTCATTAGGTATTTCTTTAAATCTTGCAGAGCTTTCTCATGATCATCAGTCCATTCGAAACCTTTATTTTTTCTCAAAACTTTGTAAAATAAATGACATTTATCTGACGATCGAGAGATGAAGCGATTTAATGCTGCCACTCGTCCTGTCCATTTTTGGGTTTCTTTAACATTCCGGGGGGATTGAATATTTATTAGGGCTCTGACTTGGTCAGGGCTGGCTTCAATTCCCCTTTGCGTTACTACATAGCCCAAAAATTTTCCAGCAGACACTCCAAATGAGCATTTAGTAGGGTTAAGTTTCATACCATATTTTCGCAATACCTCAAAGGTTTGTCGGAGGTGATCGACGTGATCTTTCGACTTCTTAGATTTCACCAGCATATCGTCGATGTATACCTCCATCGTATCTCCTAGCTGGTCTTTGAACATCTTGTTGAGTAGCCTCTGGTACGTCGAACCTGCATTTTTTAGTCCGAACGGCATGTCTTTATAAGAATATATACCTTTGTCGGTCATAAAGGTCGTCTTCTCCTGATCGTCGGGATGCATTAAGATCTAGTTGTATCCGGAGTAGGCGTCCATGAATGTTAAGAGCTCGTGACCTACTGTTGCGTCTTCCATGGCGTCGATGTGCGGGAGCGGGAACAGATCCTTAGGGCATACTTTGTTGAGATCGGTGAAGTCGATGCATACTCTCCATTTGCCGTTCTTTTTACTAACGACGACAACATTTGCGAGCCAATCCGGATACTTGACTTCTCTTATTTTTCCCGTGTCGATCAGCTGCTGCACTTCGTCGTTGATGATTTTATTTCTTTCCGGCGCAAATTTTCGACGCTTCTGCTTGACGGGCTTATGATTTGGGTCGACGTTCAGTTTATGCGAGATGATGCTCGGGTCTATACCAGTCATGTCCTTGTGAGACCAGGCGAAACAATCTTTGTTCTTTCGGAGAAAGGCTAGGATGGCATTTTTGAGTTCGGGTGCTAAGTTGGCTCCGACACGGACGGATTGATCATGCTTTTCGGGATATAAAGGTATTTCATCAATTTTGAGGTCATTGGGATTGTCTGGTGTCGGGCCATGCTGTAATTGCTATGCGGTTCTCATGGTTGGTTTAAGGGTTGTTTTGTAGCAGTGTTTGGCTTCGCGGGGTTCTCCTTTAATTTTTTGGACCTCCCATGGGGTGGGAAATTTGATTGATTGGTGGTAGGTGGAAGGATTGGCTTTCAATTGGTGAATCTAGGGTCGTCCTAGTATGGAATTATAGGCTGATGGGAAGTCGACGATGTTGAATTTGGTTTGAGTGTTTAGGCCTCCTGCATAGGTTGGAAGGGTTATCTCTCCGAGAGTTGACATGCTTTCTCCACTGAAACCGACCAGAGTTGTCGACCTTCTGATGATGTCTCTATCCTTCAATCCCATGTCTTCCATGGCTCTTCTGAACAAGACATTTACGAAGCTTCCTCCGTCGACTAGCACCCTTCAAAGCAGACAATTCCCGACGACCAAAGAAATTACCAAAGAGTCTTCATGCTCTCTATTGATGTTGTTGACGTCGTCATCATCGAAGGTAATTGACATTGCCTCCAGCTTCTTTTCTAGGGGGTCTCTGATTTCGTTTAGGACATCTGCATTATCTATCGTCGACTTTGCGATCCTCTTTGTTGCAGAATAGGTTAGTCCACAAATATCGGAACCACCAGTGATAACGTTAACTATTACCTTAGGTACAGGGGGTTTTGGAGGTCCGACTGTTGTCGTCGTTTCTGGCTGATGGCGACTTGCGTCATTACTTTTCTTTTTCTCCAACAGATGCTTGAGGTTGCCTCTCTTCAGCTGGAAGGCGACCTCGCTTCGCAGGGCGTAGCAATCTTCCGTCTTATGGCCATGATCGCTATGGAACTCGCACCATTTGCTCATATATTTCTCCCATTCCGGCTTGTTGCTCTTCGACGGCCAGCGCACTTTGCTTCCCAGGGGCTCCAACTTTTTTACTACTGCTACGATATTCACGTCGAAGCCATACTCAGATATTTCGTGGTATTGCGGGGCGTCGAAGATATCTTCGACCTGCACAGCACTAACAGAGCGTGATCTACCTGCTGCCTCGTAAGGCTGATGTCGCCACGATCCTCTTGGATTGCTTGGGGCCTTCCGATCAGACGAAATTCTGGAACTGGGGTAGGAGCTGCGATTGGCGATATCTTCGTCGAAGCGCATTTGAGCCACGGCTTTGGTCCGGACTTCTTCAAATGTTGAGCAAGGATACTTGACCATATCTTTGTACAGGTCCGAATCCGTATGCAATCCGCGGAGGAAGGCTTCAGTGGCAGTCCTATTGTCGACATTCTTGATTGAGACATTCTCCTTGTTGAATTGAGACCAATAAGTTCTGATGGTCTCCTTGGGACCCTGGACGATCTGATACAGATCGCTCGTCTGCTTGTCGAACTGCCTGCTACTTTCAAAACGGGAATAGAATTTGTTAACTAACATAGCAAAACTAGTTATACTACCTGGTTCGAGTTTGCCGAGCCACTTAAGGGCGGGGCTTGTCAGCGTCGCACCAAACGACTTTCACATGCACGCTTCCCAGCACTCGAACAGGATCGAAGCTTGCCACATTCGCTGCTTGTAGTACTCGACATGATGCTCGGGACAGGTCGTTCCGTCGTAGAGCGACGTAAACGTCGAGAGCGACAATCTTCTGGGAATCCGGGCCAGGGACAACTCGTCGCAAAATGGGGTCGCTGCGAATCCATCTGGAGCTTCTCGCTGGACGGGGATTGGCATGCCGGGCATCATCTTCATCATCGACAAGACCCTGGAGTTCTACTTTTCTAAGGCGGCCAACCTCTGGATCAGGATTTCCGTCTGGTCCGGCTGCGGGTTGCCTTGGTCGTCTCCTGAAGTCTGAATGATCCCTTGCCCGGCATTCCTGATTAGGGGTCCAAATTCATTTCTCCGTCACTGGATTCAGTATCAGTGTCATGTGGAGACTCAATGACATCCAGCGACGACATTCTAGGGATCAGGTCTAACTGCCTTGGCCGGCGACGACGATTGCTCTGGGCGGACTCCAATTGCTGGCGGAGAGCAGCTGCATCAGAATCTGACGCTTCTTTGTCCTTGCTGTGAAGCTCGTTGGATTCCCTAGCTGCTTCAAGGTCAGCTTGAATTTTCTCATAAGCGACTTTTAGCTGTTCTGGGGTAATTTCGTCAGCTGACATATTGGAGGTTTTAGCGAGGGATTTTTAGATTTTACCTAGTTGAGCCCCACAGTGGGCGCCAAATTGTTTATGCTAATTTTTGTTAAGTGGGATTGAATATCAAAATCTAGGCTACGGATCAACTAAGCAAAATCAAAAGTAAAGCAAGACTAAAAAGAGAATAAATGACACGAGGAATTAGTGACGCAGAAAACCCAATGAAGGTAAAAACCGCGGGTAGAATGAGGATCTACAAACTTTCACTATGCAAGAAATAATATCAGTTTACAAGATGTGGTAAATTATGTGTATCGTTGGAAAGTAATGCCCTATACTCGTCGTTATCCTGCCCTTTATATAGATGGTTTGCTAGGTTGAACCCTAGCCGTTGTAAGGAGATAAGATTATGCCCATGATTTTTGGATGTTAGTTGCTGAAAATATTCTTCTTCTGTTTTGAACTCCAACGGACTGATTTGGCTGAGGCTGGACTAAGTCCTTGCTTATCCTCTTCCTAAAAAATAGGAAGTTGTTACTTGACTTTGACTTCCGTCAACGCTGACAGTGCGTCGTCAGGGGAGTCTTCGTCATTGACCTTCATTGACTATCGTTGACTAACCCTTGCATATTTTTACCCATAAAAATTTTTATTTGTAGGAAGTTGTAAAACTTCTCTCATATTTTTTATTTTTTATTCTTTTTTCGTTTTTTTGGGAGAAGGTCGGTACCCTCCACTTATGGAAAAAATAACAGTGTTTTTTTTTGCGTTGTTAATAAACACACAGTCACACACAATCAGTCTTAAGCACAAACTAACATACACATTAATAAAGTCAAAGGCATAGAGTGTGAATAAAATATACAAAGAGAGTCATAGTACATATATAGCGTTAAGTGTCATCAATTAAAGTACATAATAAAAACCCTCGGTCTATACTCTCAAGATCTAGAACTAGGGTCAGTCTCATCTTGAGATTGCGAGTAGGGGAACGGCTGACAAAAATACCCCACATCATCCGGGTACGAGGAGTAGTGTCCCTACTAGTCCCCGTAGCCCCAGTAGAAGACATGCTCAAAGCAGGGCCTTTCCAACTGGTAAACTGTGTAGGCTAACCCCAAGATGAAGGGAACATCGGAGGAGGCAGCGTCCTAGACAATGGAACTGAAAATGAGCCCTGGTCCACAGGAGTAATAACTGGCCTAAACTCGGGCTGTGAAGGCTGTGGAGGCTGGAATGCCTAAAAGATGAAAGAGGCTGCCCCTAAGCCTGAAAGTGCTGGAATGTCTGAGAAGGATGAGGCTGCCAGTGAGTCTCCTGGAACGGCTGAGAGGGCTGAGGCTGTCCCTGAGTCTGAGAATGCCGATGAACCCTAGGAGGACGTCTGTGATGACTAGGCTCTCCCTCGTCCGAGCCTCTATGCCTCGAGCGCGAGCGAGACCTCCGCCGCTCCTGAAAGACACAAAATGAGAAGATATCAATAATGAAAGATAGAACAAATGGTAAGATATGAGAAAACAGGGGAATATACCTCAAGAACATCGCCAGAATCACTCCGAGAACTCGCACCACGTCGAAGCTTGATGACACAATGCTTCAGAGCATCGATCACCTTCATAAAGCCCATCATGTCCGAGTGCGTAACCTGAAAATAAGGGAAAAGTCAGTAACAAGTGCGGTCTAAAGGAACGAAAGAGGTATCAAAGAGCTTACCGACTCGGACTCATCAAGCAGAGACTTCTGCGCCTGCCTAAAACCCTCCGGTGCATCAGCAATGTGCTCCTCAACAATACCAATCGGCCCCGAGTAACTGACAGACTGAGACGCGACCTCGACCTTCCCCTTACGACGAGTAGTCGTCTGAAAACATGATCGGATAATCAGGTTATTCGATGGTTTAAACAGAGACTAGCAACAAAACTCTCAAAGAAAATCAAACCTCAGCAAGACGTGGTGGAGGGGCTAAGTAAGGAAGGAGCTCCTCAGAATAGTCATCATCCATGTGCACGAGCTCTCGCCAAGAAAACTGATATCGCTCTCCTCTGCCCACGAGAGACACCAACCTACTCGGATGTAACATCGACTCTGGTAGAGGCAATGGCACTATAAAACGGTCAGTACTATGCTGACAAGCTACACGCTCTCCGAGGTACCAAATGGGTCGTAATGTACCGAAGAACACAGTACGATAGGCAGAAAGCTCCATAGCCTCGGGAAGATTAGTCAAACCAGCCCAAGGACGATACTGAATATCGACAGAGACCTTAAAACCATAAGCAAGTTGTAGTGAATACCGCAATGTAACATCATAACCTTTAAGGATATGGCGTAAAGTTGAGCCTTACCCCAACAGTAGTGGTGCCCCGACGTAGGAACCCCCGTAGACTCGGCACTGACTCCACCCGAGACTCGCCACGGACACGCCAACTAGCACCAATGGGAAAGTCGCGGGCTATTCCCTTGCGCTGTCGAGGAGCCAATCCTGTGAAGTATTCATAGAACCAAAGCTGCAACAAGAGTAATTTATAAGTATATGAGACAATAGGAATTGGAGCAAAACACGAAGAAAGAAAAAAATCATCACCTCCACAACTCTCCAAAGGCCGAAGACAGAAACAGGAGACTGATCACTCAGCTGCCGACTACCATGCTGGAGTGACAAAAGCAGATCAGCATACCCTAAATTGGCCCAGCTAAAGGACCTGATCTCAGCAATCCTTGCCAAAGAGGGCAAGTAGCAGAGAAGCGTGCGAGAACTCCTACCATGAGAAAAAGTCTCGGAAATAAGAATCAGTATGAACACCCGTACTCGCTGCTCAGGAGTCGTGTCATCAATGTCGAAGGCGTGAGCAAGGACGGAAGCTAGCTCTGATCGCCTGCTCCGAAAACCACCCCGGAGTACTGGCTGAGTCCTGATATAAGGAACAATAGGACCCAACAACTCGAATACTTGGCTCGAATCCCAAGTAAGATCAGACATCTGCTCAACGGCCCGAGTGGTGAAGCGCAAGCCGCTAATCATATTGAAATCTAGAGGAGTCACCGTCATCTCCCCCCAAGCAATGTGAAAAATTTTGTTAGTAACCCATAAATACTACAACAACGCTCGAACAACTATCAAACCACAACCTCGAGGGCTGCAAAATCCCACGACCGCAGAATAGAAATCTTCTAAACCAGCAGACTCCCACAAGGCGTTGGTGACAGGATCTCCTGTGATGATCCCGTACAGCCGAGGAATCAAGTCTCCAGCTCATGATCCATGGTGACGAAGCATGCCGTCGACTACGCCGATAATGGGACGGTGAGAAATATGGTTCTCACGACAGAAAACCAACTGGTCTAGGCATGCTATTATGTTCAAACAAAATAAAAATCTACCCCTACCCGTAGAGAGTCGAGGCTTAAACTCTAAGACGTCATCATCCATACCCTCAGGAATCGTGGGAGTGTCCTCTCGAAAGGCCCGACACCGGCCACGAGTAGAAATGTCTCGATCTCGTTGTCTAGGCATGCTATTATGTTCAAACAAAATAAAAATCTAAATACTTGGCATCATTTCCTAAGTTATTTGGTTATTTATTCAAAAACAGCTTAACAGGTATCTCAAGTTGCATTTTCTGTTATACGCTAAATTTTTACCTCAAGGCTAAAAATTAGCAAAATAATAGAATTGTTACTAGTACTTATTTTCTCCATGACAAACTATTACTACAGTTTTCCTAGCCGCATGATACTATGTTCTCCATGACAACATAGTACATACACAAAACAAAGCATGCACAAAAAACAATAGATCGACATATCATGGCATATTTACAAGATCTACAACCAATATATCATCAATACAAGTGCAAAGGAATGACAAAAATAACAAGAACATCATTTCACAAAAGTAGTACCAAAAAAGGGGGGATTTGCTCAATTCTTCACCAAATCACGCAATTTTCGTCTCAAATCGCTCACAAACACACATACATACATATATAAGTAAATTCATGGCAAGAATTTCAACATAAAACCTCAAAATCAAAAAATCCCCAAATTGATTTTTAAGGGTTTTTACATGGAATTACTCATTTGAAGCAAATTCAAGACAAAAGGTAAGAAAACTTACATGAATCCTTGTAAGAAATCGGAAATGAGGAAAACAGTAAAAAATTGGACCGAATTGGGTGAAGAATTGAGCCCCGGAGCTCGAAAAACTGCAGCAACATCACCGCAGCGCGGCAATAGCTGTCGTGACACGGTTACTCTTCCCGTGTCACGGTGTACCCCTGACAGCAGCAG